AAGTTGCAAATGTGACACTTCTCATACTGAACAAATTGTTGACCATGAGATACTTCCTAGACTTCTGGGTGGCTCTAAATCCATAATCCCTCTGGGATCCCCAGAGCACAGAGTAAGAGGGTGCTGAACAGTGATACTGAAAACCTTACCAATGCTAATGAAATTAAGACCCTATTCGTTGTTTGTAGAGTTCCCAAATTAGGAATTGACAGAGGCTTACTGAATGATCTGGAAGACCAACTATCTCTGGCTTAGCAGCAATGAATACTGCCCTGGGCAGCAGCAACAGTTGCCAAAAACACCTCTGTAATTCTGGATACAACAAACTGTGCACTTGAAGACAGAATCAAAGCGTTTCTTCAAAAACTACAGTACTTCCATAACAATTCAATGGTACTTTTCCTGAACAGACTTCTTTTGGAAAGAAGATTGAAAGAGGATACTGAGAAGCCACAGAGTTAACAGCTGAATTGGGGAGGAAAACAATAAAAGTCAGCCAACAGAAGTTAATCAGGTACCCACTAATTCCCAAATTGGGGAGGAGGTGTAGGGGGGACCCTTAGACCTCTAAAAATAGGAAATCAAGTGGATCAATCCAGGGCTATACAGAAAGGAGACTAGTCAGCACCATATCTTACTACTATGTAATCCAGAAGCATTTATTGAAACAAATTATAAAATCAATGTTCAAGATCCAGTGAAAAAAAATCTAAAAAAAAATTTAAAATGTAAAAAATATTGAGGCATCTGGGTGGCTCAGCTGGTTGAGCTTCCGACCTTGGCTCAGGTCATGTTCTCATGGTTCCTGAGTTCAAGCCCCGCATCAGGCTCTGCACTGACAATGCAGAGCCTGCTTGGGATTCTCTCTCCTACACTCTCTGCCCTGCTTGCTCTCTTGTGTTTTCTCTCAATCTCTCTCTCTCTCAAAAATGAACAAGCATTTTTTTAATGTAAAAAAATATGATCATTAAGAATATTAGAATATAACCCAAAGAAAAGTAGAAGAAAATAAATGATAAAAGTGTATATCAATGAACTAGAAAACAGACTACAAAAAATAAAGGCAATCTTCAACAAACGGTGCTGGGACAACTGGACAGCCACATGCAGAAGAATGACACTGTACCAATTTTTTTTACACTATACACAAAAAATAAACTCAAAATTGATTAAACTAAAATTTACCATGGTAACCCTAGAAGAGAGCAAAGGCAGTGATTTCTCTAAGGCAAGGGAAACAAAAGCAAAAATAAACTATTGGGACTACAGCAAAATAAAAGGCTTATGCACAGCAAAGGACACAATCAACAAAATTAAAAGACAACCTACTGAATGAGAGAAGATATTTGTAATTGATGGATCTGATAACGGGTATCTAAAAATATATAAAGAACTCATACAACTCAATACCAAAAAAAAACCCCATCTAATTAAAAAATGGGCAGAAGACATGAACAGACCCTTCTCCAAAGACATCCAGATGGCCAACAGACACATGAAAAGATGCTCAACATCATTCAAACACCAGGGAAATGCAAATCAAAACCACAATGAGATATCACCTCACACCTGTCAGAATGGCTAAAATCAAAACCACAAGAAACAAGTGTTGACAAGGATGTGCAGAAAAAGGAATCCTCACATACTGTTGGTGGGAATGCAAACTGGTACAGCCATTGCAGAAGACAGCATGGAGGTTTCTCAAAAAATTAAAAACAGAATTAACATATAATCCAGTAATTCTGCTACTTGGTATTTGCCCAAAGCATACAAAAATGCTAATTTGAAAAGTTATATGCCCCTATGCTTACTGCAGCATTATTTACAACAGCCAGAGTGTGGAAGCAGCCCGAATGTCTAGTAATATAGGTGAATGGATAAAGAAGTGGTGTATTTACTCATATATGGAATTTAAGAAACAAATGAACAAAGAAAAAATAGACAAACCAAAAAAACAGACTCTTCCCTATAGACAAGTTGATGATTACCAGAGGAGAGATGGGCAGAGGGGATGGGTGAAATGCATGAAGGGAATGAAGATTACACTTAACTGGGGCGTGTGGGTGGCTCAGTCGGTTAAGTGTCTAACTTCAGCTCAGGCCATGATCTCGCAGTTCAGGAGTTGGAGCCCCACTCTCTCTGCCCCTCCCCCACTCTCTCTCAAAATAAATAAACTTTAAAAAATAGTACACTTACCCTGATGAGCACTGAGTAATGTACAGAATTGCTGAATTCAGTATACCTGAAACTAATACAACACTGTATGTTAACCATGCTGGAATTTCAAAAAAAGAAAGAAAAAGAAAAATTAAAAGAAAAAAGCCAAATAAAGCAAAAGGTAACTCTTTGAAGACTAACATAATGGAAATGTACCTGGCAAAATCGAGTCAAAAAATGTATATACAGAGAGGTAACACAAATATATATTATGGATACAGATATATTCAAGATATAAATGTAGTAATACTAGTATCACTTTGTATCAAAACTTTGAAAAGAGACAAAATGCACTAATAATCCTGAGAAAAATATAACTTATCAAAACTTACCACGAAAAAATAATGGAAAGCTTGAATAGGCCTAAATAAAGAAACTGAACAAATAGGTTTAAAAAAAAATCTTCTCACAAGCAAAATATCTTGCCCAGTTTCACAGGCAATTTCTAGCAAAATTTCAACAATCAATCCACTTTTTAAAAGGCATTTAAAAATGATTACAAAGACACAATTCACAAAACATAGATTTCACCATCTTAGAGTGTACAAATCAGTGGGTATTAGTATTTTCACACAGTTGTGCAACCGTTCCCACTAATTCTAGAACATTTCTATCACCTCAACAATGTGCCCCGTTCTTGTTAGCAGTCACCCACAATCCCCATGCCCGTTCTGCTAATTTGGTTGATCATTTCAAAGAACCATCTTTTGGTCTGATACTATTTTCTATTTCATTTTTTCCACTCTACTATTTATTTCCTTTCTTTTCAGTTTTGTAGTTTACTATTCTTTTTCCAGTTTCTTAAAGGCAGACAGATGTTTAGGTTACTGATTTAACTTCCTTCTTTTTAAATGTAGGGATTTAAAGCTATAAAGAAATTCCCTCTGGTTACTGCCTTCATTGCATTCCATACGCTGTATTTTGTGTTTTTCATTCCAGTAGCACGATTTTTAATGTCCCTCTGATTTCATCTTTGACCCACTGGTTATTCAGGACTATGTTCCTTAATTTCCACCTATTTGTGAATTTTCCTCATTTAATTCTGTTACTAATTTCTAAATCCATTCCATTTGTGGTCATAGAACATACTTTGCATGGTCAGTCTTTTTAAATGTATTGAGATTTGTTTTGTGACCTAACATTTCTATGGATTATGTTCCACACGCATTTGAGAAAAATGTATCTTCTGTTGTTGCAGTGCTCTATGTGGGTCTTTTTGGTCTATCATGTTGTCCACGTCCTCAACTTCCTTACTCGTGTCTTTGTCTTCTATCCATTATTGAAAGTGGGATATGGAAGTTGCCAACGACTCCAGGTTGAATTGTCTATTTTTCCTTTCAGTTCTATCAGATGTTGCTTCGTGTATTTTGAGGATCTGTGGTTAATGTGTGTGTGTGTGTGTGTGTGTGTGTGTGTTTATAATCGCCATATAATCTCAACAGAATGAGCCACTTACCATTACATATTGTTCTCGTCTCCAACAAAAACAAAAATATTTGCCTTAAAGTCTGTGTTGTGTGTGGTTCTCTTTTGGTTACTATTTGCATGGAGTATCTTTTTCTGTTCTTTTACTTTTAATCTATTTGTGTCTGAATCCAAAGTGAATCTTTGTACACAGCAAAGAGTTTGAATCAAGTTTTTAAATCTATTCTGCCAATCACTCATTTACGTAGCACCTTTCTTTGAGGCACCCTCAAAAAGCCCTGTGGCTCTGCAATGTGGATTCTGAAAACCAATGATTTCGAACATGGGGAAATTACTTATGAAGGAAATAATCCAATTTTATTTCAGAATTCTGTCGGTAACCTGCCATGTAACCTAGAATCACTTTTTTTTTTTATAATAAAGATGAAAAACATTCCAACATTTGATGCTATCATAGCGCCTACTTTGAAACTGAAAACCATTCAGGATAGATTTAGAGATCCTCTACTATCCTGGCCTAACGCCTACTGTATCAGTACAATACGCAGTGTGTAAATGGAGCAACAGCAATGGCACCAATCCACGTGTAGTAAATACTGTTGACTGGCAACTTGAAGGCCATTTTCCCCTTCTCCAATGATGATAATGCCCTAATTCAGTTTATTTTATTTGCCCTTCTTCCCTCAGAAAAATGTATTTTGGTCTACTAAGGTGATAACATGTTCCTTCCCACTAACTAATTTAGATAAGATTTAGAGAAGAATGTTACCCAGTTTAGGTCAATGAGACGTGAAGAGATATCCTTCCTGAAACCCTCCTGCCTCTGGACTTATTCTGAGAAATAATAAATCTTGGGGCCACCTGGGTGGCTCAGTCGGTTAAGTGTCCACCTTCGGCTCAGGTCACGATCTCACGGCTTGTGAGTTCGAGTCCTACGTTTGGCTCTGTGCCGAAAGGTCAGAGCCTGGAGCCTCCTTTGGATTTTGTGTCTCCCTCTCTCTCTCTGACCCTCCCCCAATTACAGTCTGTCTCTCTCAAAAATAAAGCATTAAAAAAATTTTTTTTAAAGAAATAATAAATCTCCATATTAAGCTGGTCTATATTAGGTTTCCTGTTTAGGCCAACCATTTGATTAAATATTTCTCAATATGACCAAAAAATAAGCTTAACTTTTCTTTCAATATTTTATTTAAGGGCTTCAGTTTTAAACATCTTTAAGACATTCATCAATTCATTTATTATTTTACCTTTAACATTATAAATTTAACTTCAAGTGGAAGAAACAGAAATATGTAATGAGACTGTATTTTAGCAGTGTGTCTTCAAATAGGGAAACCAAAAGAAGTACCACCAAAACACACCAACCAACCTAATTTATTAGGCATGTCTATGTTTTATTTTCTTTTACATGATATTTTTTTGGAAAATTTCACTTTCAAAGAATCAGGTCTTGCAAACAGAGCAGCTAATCTTTCCAAAAATAAAATCCAGTATCTAGATTCTAAAAATTCACAAAACCAAATGGAAATGTCTGGTTGTCAGCCAATAGTGTCATGCTCAAGTCAGTTTCACATCACAGGGAATAATCTACAACTAACTTCAGTAGGCAAATTCCAATTCTAACTATTACTAAAGACTACCATTGTTATTCCCCACTGTGTCGACAATTGTCTTATTGCTGAATTGTACATGATAAATTTTCTTTGGCAACTTTTTATACTATTAAGTAACACAACTGGACAACTATAAAGGTTTGAATTAACTTAGTATTTCAAAAATTTCAAACTTCATTGTAATTATTTAAATGTAATTTCTTATAGATGCATCTATAAGAAACATGCCTAATGCAATATAATGACAACAAAAGAATTGCTAAATAATCCCTAACAGCTTTCCAGATGTATGTACAAGTATATAACTGAACTCAAACACCAGGGAAAGTATTATGTTAGCTCCAGTTCACTAGGAGACTTTATGTGCTAAAGGATAAAAGTTAAATGTAGAAACTAAAATCTGGGTATCTGTCAATTTTTCTGGAAGGCTCTTTCAAATGGGTTCAAAATGGCCTAAAAACTGGCCAGAAGATAATATGAATTCTCACTATAATACTTCATAAAATTAAGTATTTTGATAACTTAATAACTTTTAATCCTTATTCTATGGAAGAAGCCTATTTTGGAGGCTTCACAAAATATTACCAAGAAATTTAAACAGGAAGCTCAAGTCCAAATGTGTAACTAAGAAGTCTTTTCTATATATAACAAAATCACCAACTTAAATTATAAATGGCCTCCACTAAATATTACCACTCCACACTTCACACAATGTAAATTAAAACAGGTATGGCAGAAAGTGCGCTCTGAAGCACGTTCACATTACAAAGATAAACAACGAGGGTAGCCAGCAAAAATACAAAGAGGCATATATGCAACCATTTGTATGCAAACTTTCATGAGTAAGATATAAGAAATGATTCGTTTCGATAATTTTATGTACAGTTTGTTTACAATTTAAAACAAGTACAACTGAAAACATCTCTATTTAAAAGCCACAATAAAGTCCAACGAAATACTAAATAACAGTCTTACAAACTGGTCTCTCAAGAGAATAACAACTGAGGGTGGTATTCTAGGAAATGCCCTCTTCTTGATCAATCATTTCTGTTTTAACTGAAAAGACATCTGCCAGCATATGTTTTGGAATCTCTGAGCCTCTGACTCTCAAGGCATAACAAGCATTCTCCACTTTGGCCAGACTCTGTTTCAAAGTATACAACTTCTTAGAAACCTCGTAAGGTCCAGTATTGCCAATGAATGAAAACCCATCATAAACCTGACGTAAAAACTGGCTCACTTCAAAGGGGGTGTCAATGTCCCCGTTCCCCACACTGTTAATACACATCCGCATCAACTCTCCAGTTAAATCAGCCACTCCCAGAAGGTAATCAACAGGTGTGATTTTCAGTCTCCAAGTACCAAACTGCTTATCCTGTGCATCAGAGGAGGGCTGGTAAAGAAAACACACACACACAAAGAAAACACAACGTGAAAAAGAGTGAACGTGCATTTATCACATTTATTATAAAGTACAAAATCAAGAGCAGATCAGTCATGCTAATCTCTAAATAAAATGATCTTTTTTGTTTAGTGACCATTTGGGATGCTACAAGAAGAACTCATGCCCTGGGCAGAAAGCTGAACTAAATGACTTCAAGATAATTTCTCAATCTAATACTGTAGCATTTTAAGATCAACCATTCCCAACCTCTCTTGACATACAAAATAAAACATTCTTAAAACAAAGCCTGATGACTCGACTGCATGATGGTCACTTAGTTATCTAAACGACAAATCATAAAGCCCTCTAGGTTGGTGATCCACTCACGTTTTCCTAAGTCCCTTACAGTCCCTTTCTGGCCTCTCTTCCATCCCCACTCAGCACTGACCATCATGATTTATTACTCTCGTTACATCGTCCTCAGTTCCCTTAGATTCCTTTGTGGGTTTGTTTGTTTATTATAACCTGCCCAGCAAAAAAACAACCCTGAATCAGTATTAAAATCTACTCGTGCTAGTGCTTTATTCAAGTGGCTGAGTACCACAGAGCTAAAAAATAATAATCAGAGCTATACAATTTGTACAAATTACTCACCAATCCTTTTTACTTATTCCTAGAATTCTCTCCTGTCTCTTCAAACACTGTTCCAAACCATTACCAGAGCTCTCCTTAGCCCCCTACTCAATCCCAAACCTCTCCACTCTCAGCAGACAATCCTGTCTACTTTCACTGACCTGGCCATTTGCCAGATCACCTGGCACAAGCTCTCTCAATTACCTTAGCCCTACAAAACAAAACAAAACAAAAAAAACTTATTTATGTCCATATCCATCTTTACCTTCTATCCTCCAGTCTCAGATGATGAGTTGTCCCTCCTCTTGTTTGAGGTTAACTCTTCCAAATGACCTTGACCCATCTCCTCCCACCTCTTCCAGGACCTTGCTTCATAAGGTGTATGCCCTTGGGCAAGTTATTTCATCTCTCTAAACCTCAGTTTCCTCATCTGTAAAATGGGATAACAGTACCTACCTCAGAGGTTTATTTTAAGGATGAGATAACATTTACCAAGTTCTTGGCATAATGCCCAACACAAAGTAAACACTCAATAAATGTTAGCTGCTACCGCCATTACCATCATGTCAATCTCCTCTTTCCACAACAATTTTTCCCTCGCTCTACTGGAGCCCTTCTGGAAGAGGAGATGCCTAAATTGTTACTAAAAGTCCATATGAGGCTTAGCTAGGTGAAGTTGCTATTCTACTGGGGGCCATTTTAGACAGAGAGAACTGCAAAGGCGTGCAGGTGAGAATTGTGTTGTATGTTTGAGGAATGAATGACGCATTTCCTTGGGTAAAGTTTAAAGTAAGAAGTAGTATCAGATGACTCTTAAAAGTACAGTCAGGGGGAGAAAGTCACATTCAGGAATGTGAACTTTAGTCAGTCGCTGAGAAATGTAAATGGTTTTGACAATATTCTCAATAGGCAACTCAATACAAAATACCTACCCCTATCAAATCCCAGAATTTTTAGCACCAAGAATCTTTAGCACTAAAAGGAAAATTTATTTATGAATGTGATCTTATTTTGAAAAGTATATGTGAATATAATGACACCATAATCTTCAAATAATTTACTACCTAAGTTCTGAAAACGGTGCATTTATTCTCCGTTTCTCTGTACATTCTTGACCTGGTATTTTCATTTTGAATTAGAAAGAACTTGAAAGAAGGGTATGGTAACTGCAGATAGGATCAAATAGGCTCTTCTTTCCACAATGCAATCTTCACTAAACACATAAAAAGCATACAGGAATTTTACTTCTCAATAATGAATGTCCTCCTTCATAAACTTCATATAATTTTAAAAACCGAGAAAATATATACGTGACTTCCTTAAAGTTCTATTTGTCATGCCAAATTAAGTCTGACCTTTTCATGTTAACATTTTAGTTACTACTCAAGAAAACATTTCTACAGCTTCCTCCATCTTCTGCCTGCCCATCCTGGTTCTGAGTAATGTTAAAAAAATAATAATAAAGGAAAAATTATGAAAAATAAAGACAGGAAAAAGCTGTCTGATTTTATCCTTTAAGTGTACTGGTATCTCAGGAAGTATCAAACATCCAAAGTCTCCCCCTTCATTGCCTGAATACTATATATTGAAATCCAGGGTAAAAATAGTATTTATTTAAAAGTCAAACTGCTTCAAAAAGAAGTTTCTCTCTTCTTAATTCGGAATAGCTGCGTAATTTTCAGTACTAGATTTATGAACTTAGTAAATGACTAACAGCTCTCACTTTATATAATAACAATTTTACATTAACTAACTGCTGAGCACGGATGTATCAGTGCTATCCACTGCCTAACTCAAAACCTTTCCAGCAAATCCTGTAAAACACTCCTGTGAGGTAGATACTTGTGCAAGGGCTCCTGTGGCACACGTGCCGAACACTGGCAGGCTGGGCAAGGGCACCTGGCTCAGGTTTCAAAACACCTGGCTTCAAAGTTTAGCTCTGCCACACGTAATTAGTTGTGTGGCTTTCGAGAAGTTATTTAAGCTCTCTAAACCCATTTCTTCCTTTGTAAAACGAGAGTAACAATTCTTACCTCATACAGTTAACAAATGAATTAAATGAGATGGCGTGCTTACAAAAGGCACATTGTAAACACACAATAAACTCAAAAAGTGGACTTAACAGTCATCACTTAACAGCGCTTGAGGTCAATAGCATTGTTCCCCCCCCACACAACACACCCATAGCTGTTCTTGTTCTGCCCACTAGCAAAACTATTTTAAAAGACCATTTCCTTAGTGGGTAATCTTGGAAACACTTTAGAAAGAACGCCACCATCTCAATATTCTTATAGCATGATAAGCCAGCAAACCTCCTATGATCATTATATGGTTACATAAATTATACAGTAAACGTGAAGTGATTTTCAATTCTTACGGTCTTATTTTCTTTTCCATATTCTTCTGTTGTAAATATCAATTGTTTATTAATTTCATCCATACTGATAAGTGATCGTGTTTTGATGAAGTGTTGAAATGAGACAGCCTCCACATATTCCTGCAGTCCTGAAACACCAAGAAAATGGCTAAGGAACAACCACTAAATTCATCACACTGTCATTAATAAGACAAACTTCAAACTGCACATCAGCTAGCTCATCAAGAGCTTAATGGACGCCTACCATAATGGTAGCACTGGATTCAGTACTCAGATGACTAAGAATTGCTTGGGGATAGGCGTGAACAGAGGAAACATTTCTGTCACTGAACTTTACAGACAGCTCAAGTACAAATCTATTCAAGTTCTTCTTTCTACTTCATGTGGCATTAGTCTTAAATATCTACTCTTTGCTACAGGGAAATGTCAAAGATTTTTAGAAAAAATTGTTCAAAGAATTTAAGGAAATGCTATTATAAAAATCATTTAGGCTTTCACAGAAACTATACAGTTATTTTTTGCTCTCTGAAGCAACAAAACAGATAATAATTTCATCAAATAAAGCGTAAAAAATAACACCATTTGGACCCTTCTTGAAATTTTAATAGGTAGAAAACACTTTAAATAATGTAGAATAAAGTATCAAGATACAAAATAACTATTTTTCTCCTCCTACTCCAAAATGGTTCTAAAAATAGATAACTTCTTTCCACTTTAGTAACTTAAGTTTAAAAAAAACAGGGATGCCTAGGTAGCTCAGTCGGTTAAGCATCCAACCTCAATTTGGGCTCAGGTAATGACTCATGGTTCATGGGATCAAGCCCTGTGCAGGGCTCTGCACAGACTCACTGATAGCACAGAGCCCGCTTGGAAATCTCTCTCTTTCTGCCCCTCCCCTATACATGTTCTCTCTCCCCCCTCTCAAAATAAAAACATTTAAAAACAAAAAACCTAATGAGTAATGTAATTTTGTATCAGATGTAAGTTCTACAAAATTAACACTGAATTAAAACAAATTTTGGTAAAGGTCAAAAGCAGTACTATTCTTTTTCAAGTGTTTTAAAACAACTAAGTTCTGGGGCACCTGGATGGCTCAGTCAGGTAAGCATCTGACTTCAGCTCGCTCAGGTCATAATATCACGGTTCATGAGTTCGAGCCCCGCAATCCTGCTGTCAGTCAGCATGGAGCCTGCTTCGTTAGGATCCTTAGTCTCCCTCTCTCTCTGCTCCACCCCCATGTGTGCACGCTCATGCCCTCTCTCTCTCTCTCTCTCTCAACAATAATAAAAAACAAACATAAATTAAAAGAAAAACAACTAAGTTCTATGGCCACAATTTTCAATATTAGTTTATTATGGTATCATCTGTAAGACGACAGAGGGAAAAAGTATTTCTTACAACACTTATCACTATTGCTGAGTTAAGAAACTGAGTATTGTCTGTAGAGGCTTTGATTTAGAAACAAGAGAAGAGTGAATTCTGATGCCGGAAAGCAAACTGAGGACCGAGGAGAATCCTGAGTCCAAGCAGTCTCAGGCACCTGTGACAAGTGCCCCCAGCGTGACACCATGGGTCGGGCTGCGCTAACACTCACCCCGCTGTGGTATCATCACATCAAATGCCGCAGCAGGTCAAAGACACAAAAGGAAGTGAATGACCTGGTTTTGATAGCAGTAAGAGGAAACAACTGAATGAAAATATCCTGACTCATTTTGAACCACGAGTGATGTTAAAGCAAGGTCAGAAATCAGTGCCTTTAGTGGACAGAACAGGACATGATAGAATAGGACACTGTTTAATAAACCATAACATGCTGAGAAATGAAACAATAAAGTTCAGTTTAACCGAATAGATAACATCTTTTACGTTTACAATAAAAAATATTTTTGTAAAATTTTAGTTTTAAGAATAGGTGACCACCCACTTCTCTTTCCCAAAGACAATCTGTACTTCACATTTCCTTCCAGAAATAACTTCATGCACACAAAAAGAAAAAGCAAAACCTAAGGACCACTTGTTATATTTCTACAGATGCTCTACTATGGTCAGCTCTTAAGAATGAGCTAAATGCAAGACTTGTGCGCCAAGACATTCATCATTATAATCATTACAGCAAAAAGTGGGAAAAGTTTAAAGCATCAATAATAGATGCCACTTGTCAATTTATCATCTCTCTGCTCCACTAATTCAGATAACGGAGGTGGACGCTACATTTCTCTTTTGCCAGCCAGCTGGCACGGTACCGAACTCTGTTGGTAGACAGAACTGGAAGGAAAGCAGAGGAGGAGAAAGCGCTCTTCCCCATTCTAGTGGGTCCCCCCCAGCAGCCTTCTACATGTGGGGCAACCCGGTGCTTGAGGTGGCCAGTAGCACGCGGCATGTCCTCGGGAGCAGCTTCCCAGGGGACCACACCACCCTGGGTAAGGAGACTCCCCACAGACGGCTTCCCAGAGAGTTCTATCTGCTCCACACCAGCAACCTCCTCTACCATCCAACGCGCCCTGCCTTCAGGGGGTTGAGGGGTGCACTCTTCCAGAAGTGTTCCTTTCTTGGATGCCCTGGCCTAGGCCCTGGGGTAGTGGCTGCCCCTCTGATATCCTCTACTTTTTACAGTACATTTTTCCTCTCATTAGATAATCTCCAACACAGTTAATTCTTTTTTCCCCTCAGACACAGTTAATTCTTTGTATTAAACTTAACCTGTTCAAATTACTGTGCAGCTTATTTCTTTTTAGATCCTGATGAATATAATAGGGAATTAGGAAAATAAAAAATAGTCTTAGTTCCCCTGTCATTATAGAGGAGGTATTCTATCTATCTTTTGAGGTTGTACCGTACCTAGGATCAGGATAAAGATGCAATCCCAGCAGGAAGCTTAACAGAGATTCTCCCTTCAGTGTTCCACAGCATGTTCTCCATTGGAGGCTAATGGTCAACTCAACAGACTCAGATGTCTCATCTATCAGTCCTGTCTTTCCTCGCAACCACTCCCCATCTCTCTTCTCAACTTCAGAGCTGCATTTCCTGAAAGCGCAGGCTACCACATTCCTCGATAACTTCACTCCTATGTCTCAACCTACTTGATCCTAGTTTGAGCCCATCTCTATGCCACAACAGCTCTCACTTAGATTATACCATTTCATGAGTTTAATGGACATTCTTTCAGTCTCAATCTTAGCAGCAGTTAGCAGTCTGACCACTTAAAGGAGGAATTCTTTAAAAGTTTTCATTTGGTCCCTGTGAATGCATCATCTTCTGATTCCCCTTTTTTCTACTTCTTTGGGCGGGTCTTCTTAGTCTGCCTCTATCAGCCCCAGGCTCTCTCAAATTCACTTACAGTTGGCTTCAGTTAACCCTGCCATCCCTCAACTTCACAGCTCTGGCTCAGAGTCGCATGTATCTAAATACATACTTGACAATTCCATCAGAGGGACCTCAAAATCAACATGTCCAATGATGAATTCACAATCTTCCTTCCACATGCAGTCCCCCTTTTTGTTTTACCAATTCTAAGAGTCTCCTGACCACTCCCCCAATCCACTTCTGATCTTTTCTCATTCATTCTCATACCACTGAATATATGCCTTTTTAATAAAGAATTATCCCATCACTCCCCTGCTTAAAGCCCAAATAACTCTCCATGGCTCCCAGAATCTAGAGCAAAATCATTAACATGGCTTGTAAGATCCTGCTTAATTATACCCTCCACCTCCATCATATCTATACTCATAATCTCAAGCTGATCTGATGGTCAAGGCATGAATTCCAATGTGCAATTCAAGGTAGAAGATACCAGAAGTGAGGCTATCACTTAAATTAAACCAGCCTACTCTCTATTCTCTTATGGCAATACTGTGTTCAATAATTTTATTTTTTTAAACATTTTTATAAGTCTCAAGTCTTTAAAAAATTTTTTTTTTTTAATATTTTTATTTATTTCTAGGAGAGAGAGAGACAGCGTGAGCAGGGGAGGGTCAGAGAGAGAGGGAGTCACAGACTGAAACAGGCTCCAGGCTCTGAGCTGGCAGTCAGCACAGAGCCCGACGCGGGGCTCGAACCCACGAACCGCGAGATCATGACCTAAGCGAAAGTCGGACGCTTAACCGACTAAGCCACCCAGGCGCCCCTAAAAAATTTTTTTTAATATTTTAATTTTTTTATTTATTTCTGAGAGAGAGAGAGACAGCTTGAGCAGAGGAGGGTCAGAGAGAGAGGGAGACACAGAATCTGAAACAGCCTCTGGGCTCTGAGCTGTCAGCACAGAGCCCGACACGGGGTTTGAACCTATGAACCGTGAGACCATGACCTGAGCTGAAGTCGGACGCTCAACTGACTGAGCCACCCAGGCACCCCAATGGTTAATTTTAGATGTTATTAGTATTTAAATCAGTGGGACTCCAAGTAAAGCAGATTACCCTCCATAATAGGGGTGGGCGGAGGTTGTTCATCTAGTCATCGAAGAAGGCTTTCTAAACAAAGAATTCAGTTTCCCAAAACTGCAACAGAGAAACCTTGCCTGCATTTCCAGCCTACAGATTTCAGACTCGAGACTGCAGCATCCATTCTGTATTAAAATTCCAGCCTTGCAGTCTCATCTGCAAATTTCATACTTGCTAGCCCCCACAATTACATGAACCAGTTCTTTCAAACACATAAATCAATCTCTTACTTGCACTCTCTCTCTGGCTTCTCTGAAGAATCTTGACTGTGAAAAGCTATAAGGCAGAATGCTTAAGCTGAATTCACAGAGTATGAACGTGCCTGTAATGCAAAACTTTTGTAACCTCTCCTTCATTTTCAGCTCCTCACTTATACTGAGCCCTCCCTTGCCTCAAAGGATTTTACATGCTCTTCCCTCAGCATCATAATGTGCTCTCCTTACTCTTTCACCTAATAAACTGTTACTAATCCTTTAGAGTTCCATGAAGTATCATCTTCTGAAGAAATGGACTCTGACAACCCCCATTCTAAGCCAAATCCCTATTAGATGTTCTCCTGGTACCGTGTGCCTTTCCTTTCTGGCTGTATTTCAATCACGTAAAACTCCTTATCTAATGTCTAGTACGATCCCGCTAGGAGGGCAACACCACAACTACCTTGTGCACAGTCCTATACCTGGCGCTTAGCC